TACAAGGGACTAGGTGGCATCGCCTCTTCATGATGCGGGCCGAGTCTAGCCTGCCACTGACGATCGAGTTCCTGTGCTCTCTAGAGTTGGAGCCATCTACAGGGTCGAGGTCGATGAACTTCCAGTCCATCGACTCTCGTACAACCCTCACTTTCACTCTCTTGGGGCGAGGATTTCAGCTGACGGTCGCCGATCTGGCTACACACTTGGGTCTCTACAGTTGGGAGGAGACATCGGCGCCAGAATTCGAGGCCGCACCGTACCTTCTCCCTGCAGACATTGATCCCGCTGACTTTTGGGCGGAACACTCTTCCGACCCAGACCGTTTCGAGGGTATGGGCCGAGCCAGGTTTTGGATTCAGCCGACTTGGCGAATCCTATCTTTTGTGCTTTCGACATCTTTCTTTGGGAGGCCGTTGAACACGGATCGGGTATACCCCGATGATTTGATTGTCTTCCGGAGCCTGCACACACGCCGGGAGGTGAATATGGCTGTCTTTGTGGCCCGATTTCTCTACAGTCAGTCCATGGGGAATCGGACGCACATTGTCTGTGGTTTCGTAGTCACCATACTCTTCCGATCACTCGAGGGATCGGCGCCCATTCCGCGAGCTCAGATGATGATGCGAGATTTGGATGCCGGCATGCTGAGAAATGCCCACATTCGTAGGAGGTTGGGAGCTGGCTCTACCGAGAGCAACGCCGCTTCCTCATCTGCGCCCTCGACATTAGGAGCATCTTCGCAGGTCTCGTCTAGGAGAGCCACTCGCCGCCGACCCACTCCTCAGGCCACCCCAGCTACGACCCAGGCTGATCCGACCCCTGAATGGGCTAGGAGGATCCTGGAGCAGCAGGATACCATCCTGCAGAGGATGTCCGAAATCGGACAGCAGCAGGCATCCCAGGCGGAGAACTTCGCTCAGCTTCGAAGGACCTTTACTAGCTTTTACTCGAATGTGCACATCGGGCTCACCCCTCGTTCTCGTGAGGGCGACGATCCATCCACCTCAGTTCCTCCTCCTTCGTGATCTTCATATTATTTTCTTTTGAAAACTTTTATTTCTTTTCGTTATGAGCAGGAATTGATGATCAACTGGATTTGTTGGAACTTATTTTCCGCCGGTAACATTTACTTATGCACTTGCTCTATTTCTATTTCAATCAACTTCTTTTGATTTATTGATGTGTGAGTTCTTTTGTTATTAATCAATCATTTCAACCAGTATTCTACTCCTAACATTTTTTTCCAACTGCGGGGACGCGGTTGTGTTCAAGTGTGAGGAGGACAGTCACTTGGTTGAAATGATTGAATGAAATGTGTTTTACTTGCATACTTGTAGGCAACTTTGGTTTTAGCATAATCATCAGCCTAATATTGAATAGTTAATTGATAGGGTGTCAAGCATTTAAACTGAGAATTTCTAAGACTTTGGCAGACTTCTATTTTTACATGATTTTTTTTCAAATAGACTACTACCATTGCTGAAGTTAACTAGTATTTTCTTTAAAGTTTTTAAGTCAGATACTTTAATTACCTTTAAGAACTATTGATTTCACTTGAATTCTTAACAATGTGTAAAGGTCTTCACTAAATATTTGCTTCTTGTAACTCTTAATCATGAATTTTCGCTAAGAATGCGCTTAAGTGACGAATTGGAAATTCTATCTCCATAAGGGGCTCTGCTTCTCCCGCTAATCGCATAAGGTGAGGGAGCAAGTACGCATTTGGCATTAAATAAATCCACAATCTTGGTGAAATAATTAAGTTTCTATGAAATGAGAAGTTTTCTCGTCGAGAAACAACAAAAATTGAAGTTATTAAGACCTTTATATTATTGACAATTATTCGTGAACAATGGGCTTCACAAGAGATAGTTGAATCTATTTGATCTTAATAACTCTTTTAAGAAATGCATCGTTTCAGTAAATGGTCTACTTCTATTTGATTTAATCAAGTAAAAATACTCGTTTGGTAAAAACTTGCACATTTTCGGGGAAAATGAGAGACAATTCTAAAAACTTAGCTATTCAACGAAGTCTGATGATTATGTTAGCTGAATTGGCCTCATAATGATGCAAATAAAACTCTTTTCGGTAATAATAATAGAATGTCATGCTCTCGGTGGTCTGAAGTTGTTGCTTGAGGGCAAGCAACGTTTAAGTGTGAGGAATTTGATAAGTTCATTTTGTTCTTATTTTATTCTACATATTTTAAGCGTTATTGCACGAAAATAGTGGTAAGCAGTACATAATTTTATGTTAAACTGAAAAATATCTTTGATTTGTTCTTTAAGGAATAATAATTGGTTTAAAGTTTATCCAGTCCTGATTGTTGATTTTTCTGTTTATATTTGAAAGAAAAAGAAGTTTTTAACTGAGAATTTTATCATGGGAATATCGGAGGAAGTTCAAACAAACTGCAAAGCAAAATAAGAATTGAAGTTGGGCCTTATTTGGATCAAACCGCGGAAAAAGGCCACGGGAAAAGGCCCAAAGCGTCCAACCTTGGACGCTTTGCAGGTTGGACGCTTCCCTTTGGACGCTTGGCAAAGATTGGGCATCACGAAAGGCGCGTGGCGCGCAGCGAATGGACGAGCTACGCAAGGCGTCCAACTTTGGACGCTTTGCATCCGGACGGCTGGGGTTGGACGCTTCGCGTCCAGTCCTATAAATACAGCACTTCCCCCCCTCCGATTACACACGCTGCACAGCGCCTTTCTCCTCCCTCAAGTCCGAATTTCTCCATTTTTAGGCTAGTTCTTCAAAGCTACTTTCATATTTTAGATTAGAATTATTTCTTGGAGTTTTCACGGAGCAAATTGTAGCCCGAACCTCCAGTTCTTCAGATTTGTTGAAGTAAGTTTGTCAACTCTCTACTTTTATTTGAAAAATGTCTTCTTATGATGCATGTGTGTTGAAGGTTTTTATTATGAGTAGCTAAATTAATTAGGGATGTGATTATTGGAATGGTGATGGTAATTTTCTGAGAAAATTATTGAGTTAAATTATATTGTTGTCAAGACAAATTACTAGTTTTTATTACTGAGAATTTATACTTGAGATTTGTAAATCGAGAGAAGGCAAATCTATTCTTGAAAATTAAATTTCTTGAGAAATCTGGAATTTAATTAAGTCAAGCCCAGTAATTTGATAATTGATCTTTAGACATTGGATTAATTGTTAAGTAATATTTTAAAAGATACTTACTTACTAGTAAAAAGATTTAAAGTAAAAGTAACCGGTGATTTTACCCTAAAAAGAATCATCACCTCACCAATAATTACATCCCTACTCTTTATTCCTGAAAAGTAAAATTCAATCTCCACTCCTTATTCGACTTATTGAAAACTTTTCAATTCAACGAGTAAATCTTGTCTAGCTAGTCTTGCTAAACTTTCCCTTGGGTCGATCCTTGAGACGACACGGGATAAACTGATCTTTTAAAGGTCTAGTCTACTCCCTTTACTACTACGGGAATTTTGAGTTAAACCAAAATTCCTCACCAGTACCCACGTAATTGATAGCATCGATCCACCGAATGCCCGTCCTTGCCGCAGTGGCTACACGAGTAGTGAGGCGGGTCACCACGACCCGCGGGAGGTGTAGGGCGCTGCATGGCAAAGGCCATCGCGTCCGTGCGGTCATCCCGACCACGGACGATACTTTTGTGCCGTTCTTCTTGGACAATCAATGCATACGCCCAGTGTATATCCGGAACAGGTTTGGTACCGATGATCTGAGAACGGATGTGACTAAACTGTTCATCGTCTAGACCAAGCAAAAAATGATGAGTTTTCTCCTGTTCTTCCCGAGTACGGATCAAAGCCGCGACTTCACAGCGACAGCCGCAGGTGGGATCAACAGAACCATATAATTTGTTCCATAAAGTCACAAATTGATTATAATAACCAAGCACAGTTTGACCTTTTTGACGCAGGGATTGGAACTCGGATTTTAATTGATGCACACGAGGAGCATTGGATCCCTCATACCGAGTCCTCAAATCCAACCACAATTCATGAGCAACCTTTTGAGAAATATTTGACAGTTGGATATGTTCATCAACGCTGTTACAGATCCATGAACAAATGACGGAATTATTGGCTTTCCATGCCGCAAGTTCCTGTTCATCAGTAGGCTTTGGAAACCCAGAAGGAATAAAAAAACCTGCACGACTTCGCCCCTCCAAAGCGTTCATAATAGTTTTCTCCCAAATATCATAATTATCACCCTTAAGGAGATGTTTCGTCAGAGAATAACCCGCGCTTTCCGACGGATGAATGTAATAGGGTGACGTTGGATCGTGGATGAGCCGTACCTTCGTTGGTGTTACGGCTGCCATGGTGACGTGAGGCACCGGTGATGTATCCGACGTGAGCCGGCGTCGTGGAGAAGATCAAGATGAGCCGACCGGTGACTGTCATGAGCCGGTCGAAACAGTGCCAGCAACGGCACGAAAGAAAAAAACGAGCCTAGGGTTTAAAGGAATCCCGGAAAATTGGCTCTGATACCATGTAGAAATTTGTAAAAGACCGAATGATTTTCATTGAGTATTCACAACGTATAAATACAAGTAGGTTTGAGGCTACGTTGGGCCAAGCCCGATTACATACAAGGAAAAATACATACATGGAAATAATATACAAATATGCAAATAAAACTATGTATGCTAACAGTTGTTGCATTATGAGGTGATGGTCATGACTTTTCAAACCATAAATCTTACCATCAACAATTCATCGTTTGATGTTTGAGGCATACCCATCTAGTACTTTGACAGAGGCTAAAACATTAACAAAATCTTCCTTCTCTTTCTTGCTTAGAGTGTGACGATTGAAGAACACGCTCAGATGAAGAAGACGAAGAGGAGTTCCAAACTTCCAACCGCGTCACAGAGGGGTACTTCCGGCCGCATCACAGAGGAGTTCCGAACTTCCGAGCTTCCGCGATGACGATGTCTTGTTCTCGATTGATGAGTCTATGTGGCCGACGGACGATGTTCTCCTGTTCTCGATCAATGAGTCTCTTTGGCCAGCGGACGATGTCCTGTTCTCGATCGAAGAGTCTCTGTGGCCAACGGTTTTAGGAGATTAGAATTAGGCAATTTACTAGTGGTGACTAGGGAGTGTGTGTGTGTGTTTGTGTGTGTGTGTGTGTGTGTGTGTGTATATATATACATATATATATATATACATATATATATATGTGTGTGTGTGTGTGTGTATGTATGTATATATCTGTGTGTGCGCGCGCGTATATGAGACATATGACATTTTGTGGAGTGGAGACTACTTTGATTACGATCAATATTCGGTTTGTTTGAAAATTCCCATAGTTCATTTTTTTGTGTGTGGTTTTTACTGTTTCTTTGTTCTGTTCTAGTTGTTTGTTATTTTTGGCCAATTCTGTATGCTATATGGTTGCCTACAGAACCTGGTTTTGCTAACTCTGAGTGGTTTACGTTGGAAACTGCGACGACATATTTCTGTGGCAAAGTCCGTCATAGATTTACGATGCCGTGGTCACACTAACGTTTGCGGCCCACAAACTACGACGGATGCGCGGACGTCGCAAAAGCTCTCGCAAATGTTAATTGCAAGAGAAAAGAATCTATCTACGATGGAAATTTTCGGTCGCAAATTCCTGAAATTCTTGTAGTGACTATATGGGTGTTACAGTAACTTTTTACTAGTATTATCATACAACCATTAATATAGCTATCTTTTGACTTGAAGACATTACGATCTTCAATTTTTGACCTGCATTCTTTGATCTATTACTAATACCATCTGAATCATTGGTGGACATATAGTTTTTTATAATTAGTCCCTAATTCTAGGACATTACATTCATGATCCTTAAATTTTGAAATCTATTCTATAATTAGTCCTTTGGGAACTATATATGGAATTTTTTATCATCTTTATTAGCATAATATGATAAAATTGAAGTATATTACTCCCTTGACCCTTTGTTCCATATCTTTCTTCGCATTTCATATTTCAACATTTCTATTTCAACACTTTGATAATTAATATCTTATATCTCTATTTATATATTAAAGATAAAACTATGTGTGCATGAATCTCCGCTCATAAGAGTTGAGGGCAGACTTTGTGAATTATATATGGACTGGAATGGCATGGAGCTAAGCGACAGAGTAGCGCCCGTGGATGGTTCCTCTCTTGAGCCCTCCCTCAGCTTCTGCCTCAAGTGCCAAAATGATCCACTTGAAGATCTTTAGATTGTCTTGGGCACAACTACAAAAGACAACAACAAGGCACTTTGATTAGCAAAATTATAAAAGCTAAACTTTCCTACCAATTCAATTACTGTCTAAGGAAATAAATGTAATCCTTGAAAATGATTGGCTATCCCTATATTGTATCATCTCATTGTTGACTTCTATTTTACTAAGAGCAATGGACAATGGGAAGTTGTACCTTGACTAGAATGCCACATGCTGACATGATACTATTTAGCCAATCAAAAACAATCTAGTCACACAGTGGCATAAGTGATGTGCCCTTTAATTTTGTCTCTATTTATATTTTTGAGATATTTTAATCACTCGGTTACACTTTCAGTTCAACTCGATGCATTTTGTTTTTTGTTCTGTATAAACATTTATATTTTGCAGCGCTGACGCGAACGGTGGAGCAGCATCGATGGGCGGCGGGAAGAAAGTTTTTTTTAATATTGCATAAGAGATAACACAGCGTGTGGATAGATTTAATAAAACTTTTAACATTGGGTATTTAAAAAACCGATGTAAATAACTTTTCACATCGGTTGTTAGATATAACTGATTTAAAAGACTTTAATTATTTACATTGGTTATATCTATTAATCGATGCAAAAGGTTATTTCCATTGGTTATTTTAAATAACCGAGGTAAAAAAAGCGGTTGGCGAAAAAATTTACACTTATTAAATCGTCTATTTACGTAACCAATGCAAATGAGGTAATTTATTTGCTCGTTTTGTAGTAGTGAATGGGTCCAAATCTAGGATTAAACTTCAAGACCCATCGGGTATTTGCGTACGGGTCAGGATCAATTTTTTTTAAAAAGGATATGGGTATAGAATACTATGGACTGACCAGAACCCGACCCATTGACATGCCTACTTCCTTCATTCGATATCTTTCTTCACATTTAATTTGATATTTCAAACGTTTCTAATTCAACATTTTGATCATTAATATCTCTATTTATCTATAAAGATAAACCCACGTGTGCTTTAAAGTGAATCTATTAATATTAAATTTATGTCATAATTCAATGCATGTCTTCGGTATTTTGAAATGAGTCGAAGTTTTAAAATGAGTAGAACAATATGAGATAAGAGTACTAATGAATTAAAATCCTTTTAATTAAACTTACTAATTGTACGTGCTAAGACTTAAACCTCCTATCGTTAGAGTTGAGCTAAGCGAGAGAGTAGCGCCCGTAGATGGTGCCTCGCTTGAGCCCTCACTCAGCTCCTGCCTCGAGTGCCCAAATGTTCCACTTGAAGATCCTTAAACTGTCATTGATCCTTAAACGGATCTCTCCATTTGGAAAAACCCTTCCCATTTGATTTGGGGGCAAAAATAAGGAAGTGTTAAATTATAGTTGATTTCCAATTTTGCCCCTGATGTGATGGGTAAAAGTAAGATGTGATGGATAGATTATCTGAGAAAAAGTATGATGTGATAGGTAGGGTATGAAAAAGTAAGGGTAAAAGTGGTTTTTTAATAGAAAGGGGAAGTGTTTTGTTGGAAGTTGAAAAAATGAAAGAGGAAGTGTTTTTGAGAACGGAGGAAGTAAAAGTTAAGCTTTCCTAAGAAAGATCCGATTCAATTAATGTGCAAGGAAATAAATGTAATCCTTAAAAATGACGGGCTATTCCTGTATTGTATCATCTCACCACTGACTCTTATTCTGCTAAGAGCAATGAACAACGGCAAGTCGTAGCTTGACTCTAATGCCACATGCTGACATGACACTGTTTAGCCAATAAAAAACGATATAGTCGCGGAGTGGCATGACATTGAAGTGATGTGCCCTTTGATTTTGCCTCTATATACTTTTCTGAGATATTTTAATCACTCAGTAACACTTTCTGTTCAACTCAATGCATTTAGTTTTTTGGTTTTTTTGTAAATATTTATATTTTGCAAATAGTATATCAAAGTACGTGCCATGTAAGTAATTACTCCGTATTGTTTATTAAGAATTCATTTGAAAAAAAGACTTAATTATAAAGGAACATTTTGCATCTTTACTCTAAAATTTTCTATGAATAAAATGTTTGTTGCAGCACCAAAATACATAGGGGTGAGCAAGTACCGAACCGATACCGAAATTTCCCGAAAAAACCGAGAATACCGAACCGAAAAATACTGAACCGAAAAAGTACCGAGAAAAAACCGAACCGTACCGAACCGAATGGCCGGTACGGTATTTGGGAACGGTACGAGGTGACTTCCCATACCGAAAATCCCGAACCGAACATATATACTAAAATATTATAAAAATAATACCCCGGAGTAATATTTTTATATTCCTTCACTAAATAATAATTTTTTAAAAAAAAGTTGGTTCAAGTTCTATTATGTGTAAATTATACTTTTATTTGAGTTTTAATTTTTGTGTTCGAACATAAAAATATTCACAAAGATTCAAAATACTCCTTTATTGTCGTTCATTTTTTTAGTTTGTGAAATATAAACTAAGTTTTGATACGCATTTCTTGCATTTAAATATTCATTTTTTAATCTTTAATGTTTTTTTATTTAAATTCATTTTAATTTTCAAAAATAAAAGGACATTGTTAAATTTTAAGGTGTAAAGTAGGTATGTATATTCATCCCGATTTGTTGGGGAAGCACGGAACAAAACACAACGGAAGCGTATAAAATCTTTTCCCCAAATTAATGAGATGAATAACAAGCACAATGAACTCTGAAAAATCAGCAGCACACACACAAATAAATGGCGGGATAATAAAGTAGGTGACACACGATTTACGTGGAAACCCCAAATCGGGGAGAAAACCACGGCCGCTCAACAACGGCTCCCAAACTTCCACTAATCACCAAGAATCAAGTGGGTACAACAAGTTTTCCTCTCTAGTAAACACTAGAGGCATACACAATCATCAAGGAGCAACCTTGGAACAACAACAATCAACAATTCACCATAAAATGGAGTAAAAACTCCCAAAAACGCAGGTCTGAAAACGCAGCTCGAAAATAGCCTTCCGGGCATCAAAATGAGAATCTGACCGTTGGATTTGAAGAGGAGTATGTGAGGAACAACATACTAAAATTTGAGCACGATCCGACTTTGTTTGGCCTTCGATCCGGAGGTGAAAAGTTGCTGCTGTAGAGAGTGGCGGAAATCTTCTTTTTCTTCCTCTTTCCTGCGTTTAGCTACTGCCAGCCCTCAGTGCTTCTCCACTTCTTTTTGCTCTCTTATCTCTTTAGTTAGTAGCCACACACAACACAAGAGAATGGGCCACTAAAAAAACAATTGGGCTAAAACTTTACACACAAAAATAAGCTCAAATATAAAAGAGAGATTTAAAGTGTTGTCCAATTAAAATTGGACACTTCCTCCATGTAGGAGGGAAAATTCCCAACAAATTCCCCCCTCACTCCTACATGGAGTGAGTAAACAAACCAGCCTTCTCACGGCAGAACACGAGCTTCTCCTTCGGCAATGTCTTGGTCAACATATCCGAGCAATTCTCACTAGTGTGAATCTTCACAAGTTCAAAAGACTTGTCCTCCACGGCTTCTCGAATCCAATGATACCTTCTCTTAATGTGTTTGGTTCGAGAATGAAATGCGGCATCCTTGGCAAGGTGGATGGCACTTTGTGAATCACAATGATCAGATAATTTTCTTGTCCCAAACCAAGCTCCTCAAGAAAATTCCTCATCCATAACAACTCCTTGCCTGCCTCAACAGCTGCTATATACTCTGCCTCAGTAGTGGACAAAGCAACACACTTCTGCAATCTTGATTGCCATGAAACTGCAGCTCCAGCAAATGTCATCAAGTATCCCGAGGTAGACTTTGCAGTATCAACATCTCCAGACATATCTGCATCTGTGTACCCATCTAACACAAGCTGTCCAATACCAAAACATAAACAAACTCTTGAGGTACCTCTAAGATATCTGAGAATCCATTTCACAGCTGCCCAGTGCTCTTTACCCGGATTCGACTTGTAGCGGCTAACAACCCCAACTGAATGTGCAATATCTGGCCTCGTACATACCATGGCATACATCAAACTACCCACGGGTGAAGCATAAGGCACCTTGTTCATCTCTTGCTTTTCTTTCTCACTTGTAGGGCAATGGTCCATACTCAACTTCATGTGTCCTGCAAGTGGAGAGCTCACGGGTTTAGCATTGCTCATGTTGAATCTACCAAGCACCTTCTCAATGTATCTCTCTTGGGATACCCAAAGTTTCTTGTTCTTTCTATCTCGCGTGATCCTCATGGCTAAAATCTCTTTAGCAGGGCCTAAGTCCTTCATTGCAAAGGACTTACTCAATGACTTCTTCAAGCTAGGAATCTTCTTGGTGTCCTGTCCAACAATCAACATATCATTTACATATAAAAGGAGAATAAGAAAGTCACCTTCGGAGTAATTCTTCACAAACACACAATGATCAGCGTGTGTTTTGTGGAAGCCATGATCAACCATAAAGGACTCAAACTTCTTATACCACTGCTGAGGTGCTTGCTTCAGACCATACAAACTTTTCTTCAAACGACAAACTAAGTTCTCCTTTCCCTTAACCTGGAAGCCTTCAGGTTGCTCCATGTAGATTTCCTTATCAAGATCACCATGAAGAAATGCTGTCTTCACATCAAGTTGCTCAATCTCCAAATCCATGCTCGCAGCTAAGCCAAGTATAACTCGAATAGAGGTCATCTTCACAACTGGAGAAAATATCTCTTCAAAATCTATGCCCTTCTTCTGACTGAATTCCTTCACAACCAATCTTGCCTTGTACCTTGGTTGTGAGCTACTCTCATCACACTTCAATCTGTATACCCATTTGTTCTTGAGTGCTCTCTGGCCTTTAGGCAACTCTACAAGCTCATATGTGTGGTTCTCATGCAAGGACGTCATCTCATCTTGCATGGCATCGTACCACTTCTCGCGGTGCACATGTGACATAGCCTCATCATATGTCTTTGGCTCTCCTCCATTCGTGACTAACACAAAATCATCCTCTGAAAGTCTTGTGGAAGGTTTTCTGACTCTGGTGGATCTTCTCAACTGAGGTGCTGGTGGCGGATCTTAATGTGGCTGTGACTCTGGAACACCATCACCCCCATCATCATGATGGTCATCTGCATGGGACTCAACTGTATGATCATGCATATCTCCCCCATGATCTTGAGGGACTACAACAGGAGGAAGAGATGGAACTGGATCAACTGTGATGCATGGAGAAGGATTTGCCTGCTTCTTCTCACAATCTTCAATAGTCTGATCTTCAAAGAAAACCACATCTCTGCTTCTGATTACTTTCCTATCACGTGGATCCCATAGTCTCTACCCAAACTCATCCTCTGAATACCCCAAAAATATGCACTCTTTCGTCTTCTTATCAAGCTTGGATCTCTCATCTCAGGGAATATGAACAAATGCTCTGCAACCAAAGACTCTCAAATGCTTATAAGAGACATCTTTCCCTGACCAAACTCTCTGAGGAACATCACCTTCAAGAGGAACTGAGGGGGAAAGGTTAATCAGGTAAATGGCAGTGAACATTGCCTCCGCCCAAAAGGACTTTGGCAGCTTAGCATGAGATAGCATACACCTGGTTCTCTCTTCAATTGTTCTGTTCATTCTTTCTGCAACTCCATTAAGCTGAGGTGTCTTCGGAACTGTCTTCTCAAGCTTGATGCCCTGACTTTTGCAATAATTCTCAAATGGACCCCTGTACTCACCACCATTGTCTGGTCTGACACACTTGAGCTTTCTACCACTTTCTCTTTCAACTCTAGCATGAAACTCCTTAAAAGCTTCAGGTACCTGATCTTTATGTTTCAAAACAAAAGCCCACACTTTTCTAGAAAAATCATCAATAAAAGTCACAAAATATAGTGCACCACGGTGTGATCTAGCATCCATAGAGCAAACATCAGTATGAACAAGATCTAAAGCATGCTTTCTTCTATGTGGGGGACGAGTATGAAATGCAACTCTATGTTGTTTTCCTGCTAAACAATCAACACAAGAGTTTAAAGGCATACCTGAAATGTCGGGTAGATAATCTTTCCTGGAAAGGATCTGCATGCCCTTTTGACTCATGTGGCCAAGCCTCTTATGCCACAAATCACCGGAGGCATCATCTGCTACATTGGCATCTCCGCTACATACTCTGGCTTGCATAACATAAAGTGAATTCTGCTTCTTACCTCGAGCCATAATCAAGGTGCCCTTAGAGAGTTTCCATCTTCCATCACAAAAGTTGTTGGCATAACCTTCATCATCAAGCAAACCAGCTGAAATCAAACTCAATCTGATATCGGGGACGTGCCTCACATCCCTGAGCACCAACCTGCAACCAGTGGAAGTCTCTAAACAAACATCACCCATACCGATGATCTTAGGCGAACCATCATTTCCCATCCTCACGTGGCCAAAGTCACCACTAGTATAGGATGAGAAGTACTCCCTGTGTGAAGTAATATGATAAGATGCACCTGAATCAATCACCCAGGTGCAGTCATTACAGGCTACATTTAATAGTCCATGATCACCGATAACAAATAAATCATCATCACTAGATGCCAAGGCTGTAGTGTTCTTCTCTTCTGGCTTCTGCTCGGAATTCTCATTTTTATCTTTTCTCTCCCTAGACATGTCCCTCTTTTTCTTTCTGCAGAATCTCTCAATGTGACCCGGCTTCTGACAATAATGGCAAATAAAATTTCTTTTTCTGGATTTTGATCTCCCCTTGGACTTGTCTCTATGGTGAGGATTTCTGCTCTTGCTTCTCCCCCTGCTGGATTCTGGAATCACATTTGCTTCGGCTTGGCTAGGGTAACCTGATTCTTTTCTCCTAGCCTCTTCATTCAAAAGACTAGCCTTGACCATCTCCATAGTCATCTTGCCATCCGGAGCAGAGTTGCTAAGTGAAACCACCAATGTATCCCAACTGTCGGGCAATGAGGAAAGCAACAACAAAGCTTGAAGTTCATCCTCCAATTTCATCTTCATTCCGGCTAGTTGGTTTACCACACCTTGAAACTCGTTCATGTGAACCACAATGCTATCACCATCTTTGTATTGCAATTTAACAAGCTTCCTAATCAAAGAAGCTTTTCCCATAGCATTGTTCCTCTCGTACATGGATTCAAGTTTCTTCCACATCTCAAAAGCATT